AGGTGCTACAACAAAATCGCCACAAACTGGGTGGCTTAAAACAACAGAAATTCAAAATCAAGGTGTTGGCAAGGCCAACCTGCCCCATGTTCCTTCCAGAGGCTCAAAGAGAGAATTCTTGCTTGCCCCTTTCAGCTCCAGACAGCTCCCGGCATTTCTTAGTATGTGGCTCCATAACTACAGTCTCTGCTTCCATCTTCACAGGGTCCTCTCCTTCTCTGTGTGTCTTCTCTGGCTATCTCAAGTCTCTCTCGAGGCCTTTTTCTCTGTCACCCAGGCTGGCGTACAGTGGCTATTCACTGCACTCCAGCCCGACACGGAGGGGCCCTGTCTCAAAAAACAAACAAAAACAATTATACAAATCAATAAATGTTTATAGTTTTTAAAAGACAATTTTTACTGACAATTTAAAAAAACTACAAAATAAGACTTTAGGATGCTGTTATACTGACACTAACCTAATAAAATATATGTCAGAATTATAAGACTCAGCTTATAAATCAGGATCTAGTCAGCAAACTAGAAACCAAGGGAGGTTCTTTCTTTCTTTTTTTTTTTTCAGCCTCCTGAGTAGCTGGGACTACAGGTGCCTGCCACAATAGCTGGCTACTTTTTTTTGTTGTTGCAGTTTGGCCAGGGCCGGGTTTGAACCTACCACCCTTTGTATATGGGGCCGGCACCCTACTCACTGAGCCACAGGCACCACCTGGTAGGTATCTATTTCAAAGCAAGGATATTTAATACTGGAAACCATATTGCTGGGACAACTGAATGGTCAAAAACTCAAGTTAACCCTGAGATTAACAAGGACAGAAAGACAGAAAACAAAGCACAAAGATCACAGAGGAGGATAGAGCCCTCCAACAGCACCAGCACTTCTCACTGTGTCACTGGGAGAGCCAAACAGCATTCAGGGGACACCAGGGAGAGGGCATCCAGAAATGAAGTCACTTCAGAAGATACTGCCAGGAAGAAAGGAGAGAAATGGCTCCCCCACTCCTTCCGCTGTCTTTTTTTCTGCCCTGTCTATTGGCAGAACCTAACAGAAAGCCAGGTAAAACTGAAGCCCAGGAGACGTAGTTTGCTGGCTCCTAGCCCCAGAATTATGAAGCAGAGTGTGTGGAGCTGAGAGACAGCAGGTAAATAGTTGGCACATCCAGCACTGTGGAAAAGCAGGTATTACACATTCCTACAGTGCTGATGTTACTGTGAGTCAGAGCCCAGCTAAGAGATGCATAACCACACTCACTGGCTAAACAGTGCTGGGGAATATAATCCTAAGAACCTAAAAGCAAAAAAGACACAGAATTCGCGCAAAAATGTGGGAAGTAGCATCATTTATAAGAGCAACACTATGAAAACAGCCC